TGGAATTCCCTCCCTAAGGGACATTGTGGGTCAACCCTACACATGGACTGCAGCGGGTCAAGAAGGCAGCTCACCCCCACCTTCTCAAGGGGGGGTGACTAGGGACGAGGCAATAAACGCTGGGCCCAGGCAGTGACCCCACGTCCCATGAATGTACAAAGCAGCCAGTGCTGTTTACCCCTCGGCCAGCTCTGGGTGGTTGATTGTGTCTGTCTGTCTGTCTGTCTGTCTGTCTGTCTTGGCAGGTTCACTACATCACAGTGGCGGGCCTGGTATGGATGTTCTCTCGGTACGACCTCCCGAGGCACTACCGCCTCCCAATCGCTTTGCTGCTGGGGCTCAGTGTCTACAAGGCCTTCCTGCTTGAGTGAGTCTGTCTGTCTATCTGTCTGTCACTGAGGGGGAGGGAGGGCAATTCTCTCTTCTGTCCCTCCCTTGCTCTGGCTGCATTCCCCCCTCCACCACAATGAATGGTAGGACCTTGGGTAGTGCTGTGGAACAGAGGGACTGAGGGGTTCAGGTACATAATTCTTTGAAGTTTGTGTCACACATAGACAGGGTGGTTAAGAAGGCGTTTCAAACGCTTACCTTCATTGCTCAGAGTATCGCTTTGAGTATAGGAGTTGGGGACATCATGTTGAGGTTGTACAGGACGTTGGTGAGGCCTCTTCTGGAGCACTGTGTCCAGTTCTGGTCGCCCTGTTATGGGAAGGACATTATTAAACTGGAGAGGGTTCAGAAGAGATTTACCAGGATGTTGCCGGGAATCGATGGTTTGTGTTATAAGGAAAGGCTGGATAGGTTGGGACTGTTTTCACTGGAGTGTAGGAGGTTGAGAGGCGACCTGATAGAGGTTTATAAAATAATGATGGGTATAGCTAGAGTTAATGGTAGGTGTCTTTTCCCTAGGAAAGACTAGGGGGCACATTTTTAACGTGAAAGGAGAGTAATTTAAACAAGACGTGAGGGGCAATTTTTTTTACACAGAGGGTGGTTAGTGTGTGGTATGAACTTCCTGAGGAAGCGGTGGATGTGGGTACAGTTACAACGTTTAAAAGACATTTTGGATAAGGACGTGGATAGGAAAGGTTTGGAGGGATACGGGCCATGAGCAGGCAGGTGGGACTAGTTTAGTTTGGGATTATGGATGGCACGGAGTGGTTGGGCCGAAGGGTCTGTTTCCATGCGGTGTGACAGTGTTTACTGTCTGTGTCTCGCTGTAGGTCGCTGGTAACCGTTCTGATCCTGGGCAGCTGGACGGCGCTGCTCCTGAATGCGGCTGTGACAGGCGCTGTGTCCCTCAGCGCTCTGATCCTCTACATCAACCTGGTTCACGGCAACTGACCAAGGGTGAGCGGGTACCGTGCCCCCCCCAACATGGTGGGTGTGCCAGGAGTCCGGGGGGTACAGTGCCTGCAGACAGCACTTGCCTGGTTCACAGATCGGTGCCGGGGCACATATCCAAGGGACTGGGAGCCGTGGATGATAATCTGTCCCCAGACCGTTCCGCCGCCCCCCGCCGCCAACACGAGTGGGAGACTGTTCAGCCCATCAAGTCTGTGCTAGCATTGTTGTGAGAGCAGCCATGTTTTCCTTACACTGATTAAAATGTTCGCTGCAACCGACTGGGTCGTGTTTATTCCACATGGGGGAAGGGCAGTGCCAATCTCACTGGGGCATTTACCCCAGGCCCATTGCTAAGGGGAGAGACGTCAGTTCGAATCCCATCCTCCCGAGCGGCCAACAATGAATCAATCGGAATCATCAATTGGCGTCAAAACTTATCGCAGCATCATTTATGTCCTTCAGGCAAGGAAATCTTCCATCCCTACGCATCCTCACATGAAACCCACAGCAATGGGACTGACTCTTAACCTACCCCTGAAGCAGCTTGACCGAGGGGCAACTGAGTTGAAGGGGTAACTAGGGACGAGCAACCAACACCAGCCTCATCAGTGATGCCCACGTCCCGTGGCGAATAGAATGACAGGAAGGTGTTTTATGCTTGTGAACGGTCTCTGTGTCCCTCAGATCGCACTCGGAGCACCGTGTGCAGTTC